GTGTTTACTGTTTGGTCATTCTTTTTTTTTTAGTTTTTTTCGGGATTTTTCTTGTCTAAGGTATCGGGTCTTCTGTCAAGTTGTCTGGTAGCGACACCAACATAGTTGTGTATTTTCTTTATATATATATATATATATATATATATATATATATATGTGTGTGTGTGTGTGTGTGTGTGTGTGTGTGTATTGAACATTGAAGTTAACAGTCAGAGGCGACAGGCTGTTTCATGCTAGATGCAATCGTCAGGCCTGATATATATATTTACAGAGTGTATCAAAAATACTTTTACAAACTTTGGGGACTAGTTCCTCACACCAAATCAAGGATAACATTCCATATAAACATATGGTCGCAAATCCTCTTTCTTGAGTTATTAAGTTTAAAGTTTAAGGTAGACACTTTTAAAAATACAATCCAAAAATATTTTGGGTTCTGCTTCGTGTCAACAAAACTAGGTAAAATGTCCAATTAAATCTATGTACAAAAGAACATCGTTGTATCTGAATGCAAGAATTTATAACAAATCTTCAAAATGTCCTCCGCTTGCTTCTATACACGCATATATAATAATCATTATTTTTATCCTTTTTTTTTTGCATGTAGATGATGCTGTTATATTAGTGTTGTCAACAAGTATGTTATGAATAGTGCCCGGTAGGTCTCCATGAATATTTAAATGAGATCTTATTGAGCTATGATCAGAAAGATGTAGAGTGAGTATGCGTGTCAAACATGTTGTAGTGTGGCCTATATAATTATTTATGAATTTTGATTGATCAGGAAAAAAATTCCTTAATGGGCATTTAAATTCGTAAATAATAATTATTATTAATAAAAAAGAACAACACTAAATAATATTAACTTTGTACATGGACATATCTTGACCGAAAAATATGAAAACATTTTATAAAGCATAAATACAACAAGCTATTTCTTATTTTAACTGTTAAAATATAATCCTTGAAAATGGCTAAATGTATAGCCGAAAGCGCTCGGATAAAAAGAACATTTGGACAGTTTTTATATAATTTATCATCCGAAAAGAAAAAAGAAATTATTAGATCGCATGAGAAATTTTATAAAAAACTAAATAAAAGCACTTTGTCTGTCGTTTTCAATGAATACACACACACACACACATATATATATATATAGAGAGAGAGAGAGACCAGTAATATTATCTCTCTCTGTATTAAATACATAAATATGTGTGTGTGTGTGTGTGTGTGTGTGTGTGTGTGTGTGTGTGTGTGTATCAATATCCAATAAATAGTTCTACTTGAACAGCTTCTTCCCACGAACTACTGCCCTGTGGAACAGACTCCAAAGGGGATGTTTTCGTGATCACTACAATCTTAACATTTTCAAGTCTAGGGATAACCATTATCCCCGCCTCCTTATCTGTGTAACTGTCTCTTAACGTAACTGTGGAGTGGGCCTTGTACAGGGTGAACGTTACTGTAAAACAAAAGTATTATTCTGTCTGCATTGCTGCATAATTTAGACCCAGTGATGTGGTTTTGTGTCCTTCTAAAATGCTAATTATCAACGTTATACCTCAAAGATCATGCGACATATCCCCTTAACTCATAAAACTAATGCTTATTCAGTTTCAGATTATCAAAATAAACAATATAGAAAAATAAAAATGAACAAAATTAGTTAAGTGATACATCAAGATCCATTGGACATGAAAGATATAAAAATTTAAAACTAAGAGTCCTTGTGTTAAATTATAGCCAGTAATGGTTGACTTTCTCAACCCTCTCTCTCTCTCTCTCTCTCTCTCTCTCTCTCTCTCTCTATCTCTCTCTATTTCTCTACCTCTCTCCATCTCTCTCTATCTCTTTCTCTCTATCTCTCTCGATCTCTCTCCATCTCTCTATCTCACTCTATCACTCTCTCCATCTCTCTCTCTCTATATATCTATCTCTATCTCTCTCTCGATCTCTCTCTATCTCTCTATCTCTATCTATTTCTCTCTATCTCTTTCTCTCTATCTCTCTCGATCTCTGTCTCTCTCTCTCTCTCTATCTCTCTCTATCTCTCTCTATCTCTCTCTGTATCTTTCACTGTATCTCTCTCTATCTCTCTCTCTCTCTATCTATCTCTGCTACTCTTTGTATGTTTTTTTTTCTTTCTCTCTCTGTTTAAAAGCATTCAATCTGTCTCCGATTCTTTCTTTTTTTCTTTATCTACCTCTCTCTCGTTCTCTGTGTGTCTTACGTGCGGTGAAACACTTGAGCCATTATTTATACACGTGTGTGAGCGTGTGTGTCACCATGGTTGAAGAAGTGGCTACATGCGTTGAGCAAAACCACTTTCATAAATCCCTTACACGCACGAAGAGCAGTTTTAATCAGTATCTGTCAATCTAGTCCTGGGCTTAAATTAATGAAGTCGCGGTAGCAAAGAGGAGAAGCAATCAGAACAATTGCCATAAAAAAAAAATTATTTATGGAAAAGGCACAGGAAAGCTTCGTCATAGTGAATGGGAAAATGATTGAAACCGAGATGCCATGACAGAAACGATAATATTGCAAATTTCTTAACAACAGATTTAGCAATTGTCCCAATTCAGATCAGTGGAAAAAAAACGCAATAAGTTAATCTCCTGGAGATTAACATCGGCAATACTGATATAATTAATAAAAGAAGATTGTGTAAGCCAATTAAAAAGAGCAGTTTAGTATTTGCGGTGTTAAACTTAAAAATGTTAAATGTTGCGGTGTTAAAAATAAATTTCAAAAGTCATTTTCAAGTTCACTTTCTAATTACATTTTAATGAACCTATCAGATTTGATACATTAATACGGGACTAAATATTTGTATTATCTACAAAGGCAACAAGTCGAGAATAGAAGACGTGGCGGTAAATGCGATGCCGAGATCCGTAGACGTATTGGGATGGCCAAGGGCGCATTCCTAACGTTGGTCAGGGTACTGCGAAACAGGGGGATTTCTTTGGTAACGAAGAAAAGAATATTTTTAGTAAAACAATCATTAATGTTTTGTTCTCGTGTTTTGTTTTGTTTTTAGTTTCAGAATACTTACTCTGAAGAATGATCGATTTCACGCTTTTAAAATGAGTGTAGGTAACGTGTAAAGAAGGGACTAACCATAAACTACAAGAAGACATGATGCATGGTCATCAGTAAAAGGATGAGCCCGAAATGTGATTTGCAGGTCGGGAACACTAGAATCAAAACTAGGAAGTTTAAATATATGGGAAGGTTTTGACAGAAGACAGTAAATGTGACACTGAGATCCGTAGACGTATTGGGATGGCCAAGGACGCATTCCAAATGTTGGGGGAGAGAAGAAGATTTCTTTGGTAACGAATCGAAGAATACTGATTTGTTACGTTGCATCTGACCTTCTTTACGGCAGCGAAAGTTGGACAATTTTCTCAAAGATGAAGAAGAGACTTGAGGCGACGGAGAAGGATACTGAGGATATCAAGGACTGATCTGGTGAACAACGATGAGATCTTGTAGAGGATGCAGACAAGAAGGAGGCTTCTACTTAAAATCAGGAAGAGGCAGCTGAGGTTCCTCTGACACATAATAAGGAAAGAGGTCTTGGAGAATCTGATACCCACGACCGAATATAGGGAAAGGGAGACAATGGAAAACAACGCATGACATACCTAGCAGCCTTAAGCAAGTGGATGACGGAACGTGGTCAGGTGTAGTGGCAGAGGGAAGGCAAGAGATAGAGGGAGGTGGAGAGTAATGATCGTCTACATCCTGAAAGGCACATAGAAAGGTCACTGATAAAAATTAGTAACAATGTTGGTCCGAGTATAGAGTCCTGTAGGATTCCTACATTAATATGCAATCACCGGTCAAGACAACCTTCATTTCGCGATTTGATAAGAAAGATTAAATCAAATCAAAAATTGTCTAGAAACACAGATATCTTTCAACTTGTGCCAAAACTTGTCAAACTTCTTTGAGATATTTAATGAATCAACACAAGGTTCACCATTCTTATCAACAGGGTAATTAAAATGTAACTCCGTATTTTTTTTGTATAATAGACTCTCCCCTCTAAATATAATATTTACAAGACTGGCCAGTTCATCCGACATAAAATAGGGAGTTATTTTTCAATCATCCTGTAGAGTTAATAGAGACTTTCTCAGCAATAAGCTTTAAAAGATTCGCAGTTAAGAAGCAGTCTATACAGGGTGTATCAAAAATACTTTTACAAAACTTTAGGGGCAGGTTGATGGTACCAAAACAAGGTAAAATGTGCTGTTGTTTGACTGGGCAACCTTCGGTCTGGAAACGCAATCTGATACAGCCGTGTAGCCTCGCGTCCATTGCCATTCGTGTGGCTGTATGAAAAGATTATATCTGCCTGCTCACGATATGAATATCCTGTCTTTGATAAACAGAAGACTACTCAATTAAGTCACTATTACACACGTTAAAATCTGAAAACAGACTATACACAAATGATAAATATAGCCTAGTCCAGATGACAACACAGCGCCTTGTACCTGCGAAAGCATTAGATAACATAGTCATTAAGGACAGGTTCTATGCTGAATTTGTCCTCGTAAGACATGATAATAACAGAATAAGAAACATAAAATGTTCTTTGTTCGATATATCCAATAATATATATATATATATATATATATATGTGTGTGTGTGTGTGTGTGTGTGTGTGTGTGTGTGTGTGTGTGTGTGTGTGTGTGTGTTTAGGCAGAAATTCTTCTTTCATGCACATTTCATTGAATAAGACAGGCAAGGTGCTTTTATTTAGTTTTTTTATACAATTTCTCATGCGATCTAATATTTTTTCTTTTTTTTTCAGATGATAAATTATATAAAAACTGTCCAAATGTTCTTTTAATCCGAGCGCTTTCGGCTATACATTTAGCCATTTTCAAGGATTAAATATTTTAACTGTTAAATAAATAGTTTGTTGTATGTATGTTTTTATAAAATGTTTTTTTCGGTCAAGATATTGTGTCCATGTTCGAAGTGTTGTTTTTTTTCGTTTTTATTACTAAGGTTTCCATTATTTTTAGCCTCTTTTGCATGTAGATGATGCTATTATATTAGTGTTGTCAATAAGTATGCTACAAATAGTGTCCGGTAGGTCTTCATGAATATTTAAATCAGATCTAATTGAGCTATGGTCAGAAAGGTGTAGAGTAAGTCTGCTTGTCAAACATGTTGTAGTGTGACCTATATAATTATTTATGAATTTTGAATTATTTACAAATTTTTAATTTAACAGTTGAAATATTTAATCCTTGAAAATTACTAAATGTATAGTCGAAACCGCTCGGCTAAAAAGAACATTCGGACTGTTTTTATATAATTTATCTTCCGAAAAGAAAAACATTATTATGTAACTATGTATGTATATATACTAGCAGATTTCGCCCGCTCTCTATCTCTTCGAAAAGTAAGGTATATTCACTACTTGGTACTAAAATTTTAAATAAACATTTCATTCAAAAATTGGCTTGTTAAGGAAATTTTTACAAATAGATGCCAACTTGTTGAAGGCCAAGTAAAATGCAAATTTCAAACAAGTTTCTGCACTATATAAGACGATATTCCTAATCAGAACTATTTTTGATATGAAAATCAAAACTATCTTCGAATAAACGGACAATAATGAAGAAGAGTTAATTAATGAAATAAACATTTTTTTAAATCAATATGCAAATTAGTTAAGCCTGGAGAATGATAGAAGCTAGCTTCAATTTTGTATACAAAATGAAAATAAGTGTTACTTACCTTGAACGATGAAAGCAACGATAATAGCTAGCATAATATATTAATATATATTTTAAAACTAGCATAATCTGATAACCTTTTATCTGTGCTCAACAAAAAACGTTCCCTGCGTCTAATATTTCTAGGGCTTTTGAATGAGCTATGCAACATTGAAATTGGAACAGTGGAAGCAGAATAGTTTCTTGGGCACGCACACACACACACACACAGATACATACACATACACTGTACTTTATATTCATATATATATATATATATATATATATATATATATATACAAGTGTAAGGTAGGTTATTACCAATATTCAAACATCATATTTTAAAACGTGCGGTTTGACCAACACCGCCTGAAGAAGCACACACAGCGCTGAGACATGATTGCATTTATGTAGCGATTTATAACGTGTTTTTGTTATAATTGTTAAATATTATATATATGTGTGTGTGTGTTTGAGGGTGGATCCAAATATAATGCCACCAATTTAATCATGCTAACATGCAATATGTGTAAAAGCTTTCCAGCAAAAAATCATATTTTATTTTCCCTTGTTATAAACGGTATCTAACCTGAAAATATATACCAAGCAGAAGTTTTTCACTCACTTATTCTTTGGGTAAAACGTTTCACCCTTGTATATTGCCGATTGACCGTCTAGCCCTGTGGCATAAAATTAACTTTGGATGATGCCTCTCGCATGAAAGACCGGATAAGTCCCGTTACTTTTCCGACAGATCTCGTATATGTGTTGATGATTCTGCACGAAACCTTCACCGCTATAATCAAATCTCATGTGCTGTTGTCAGGCTGTCGGTTTCCTAGGAACTGATCTGCTTGACCCCCATGCGTCGAATTTGACGGGAGAGTCGATATATATATATATATATATATATATATATATATATATATATATATATATATATATATATATATATATATATATATATATATATATATATAAAAAGACATTTTATGTTTAACGTTCTTTTTTATAGATACAAGTATTTAAGTAAATGCCTACCGAACGCTCCTTTGTGGTAAATGATGGTTCCGTATCGGATGCAGGTTCGAATCCTGTCAAAGGACGAATATTTTCTATGAAAATTTTTCGGACATTCAGGCCGGTAAATGTTATTTAATACTGTTTATTATAAACAGAGCATTTACTTAAATACTTGTATCTATAAAAAAAAGAACGTTAAACATAAAAATGTCTTTAATAAATAAATTGTCGGACTCTGTCCATTTCTTCATATATATATATATATATATATATATATATATATATATATGTGGGAGAGAGAGAAAGAGAAGGGGAGTAGAATTGACAGAGATGGAGAAGAAGAGAGAAAAGGAGAGTACAATAGAAGAATAAAGAACGCAGAAATAAACGTTTGATATTTTCTCTGGATAAGCAGGATAACGCTTGTGCTAATGGTAATTTGCTGTAACACATGCACTTAAGTCTTTTGGTAGAGTCGTGTGTCTGTTACTGTGAATATGTTTAATCAGTTCTTGAAACGAATGAGGAATTACGTCTACAAAACACTTTTCAAATCAAATTCTCTTTACAGAATCTTTCACACACGACAAAAAGCTGGCGTTTCTGTAGTCGAATTTTCAATATACATGTCTGTTCAGTGTTCCTCCACGATAAAGAGAAAAGCACTCAATCTCTCTTTCCCCTCTCTCTCTCTTTGTCTCTTCTATGCGTTGAAACACTTGATCTCATT